GTGCTCCTTGTGAGTAGCCCAAAATTGTACGAAATTATCATTCAATTCGCCATAGCTATATACCCAAAAAGCCACTAGTGACAGTAAATAAAACTCTCTTGCCCATGACTTACCAGTTCATCATAAATCTCACGATTTCTTTACGCGCCATTTTACTCGGTATCTCAACCCAAACCTTCTTTAAGTAAAAGAAATTCAGCTGGATAAACTGATGTATAAACCACATATCTTGCACACGACGTCGCTCCATTATACCATATTCAGGCACGATTTTATTTTCTCTTTTGTAAATTTTAGCGATTGTATCGTTATAGCCCTTAGCATAGTTTTCAAATCCACAATACATGGCCATAATGCTAGACGTCAGCTGAATGACAACATTTCTATGATAACCATACTTCCCGCCGAAGTACACATAATCCTGATTAAATACACTATCAAATGTGACAAACTTTGATGAAATCGAAGTATACATATTTCCGTAGTAACAAATTAAACAGCTTGTACAAGTTCCACTGTATACTCGTGCTTTTATAACAGAATCGAGCAAAAACACAACAATATTTCGCTTCTGTTTCATCTCCAGCGAAGAGGTACATTCTAAACAAACTGCTGTAAACGGGTACAGGTCCACTGCAGTACCCATTGAAACCAAACAATACCTTGCGATTGCCTGATTTAATTTTGTATGGTCAGCAAACGATATTAACGAGTTACTCTCAATTTCACTCAAAATACATCTAATCTCAAACCTGGTATAACAACGGCCTTCATCATTAATATATAGTTTTAGAACGTTTACAATATGATCTAATCGATTTTTATCAACTTTCGATATTTTTTTGTCAATATAATGAACGGCAGAAATTATCTCAATTGAAAACTTCTCACTTGATGACAATAATAGGCCCTCTTCAACTGTCACCGATGTGTTATACCTTCTTTCGCACATGCCACCCACAGGAAAATAGATACTATCTGAAAATTAGAGAGCATACATTTCCGAGTTCATAAACGTTTATAAACATCCCCTACGCAGAATATCAAATCAAACACAAAAAGTCATAGAACCAACAAAAATATCTTGTTTATTAAACTGTAACAATCTCAGAAGACAATTAAAATCGCTACTGTAGAACACGTCACTTATTTTTTTCCTTTCTCGCAAACCGCTCATGAACTTCTTGAGTCAATTTTCGCTTTGCTTTCAGCGCCAAAGGTTCATCATCGTCACTGATCCTGCCAATGTCTCCATTTCCACCTAAACGAAGAAACACTCGCTTAGCTAAGCCCACACCGCGCAACCACACGAAAACTCTAAATTATACAATATATGCCTACTTCTTGAGTATTTCTTTACTCCATCACCTGCACACCGAATAAGCGTTAAACCCAAATCTAAATACGGTTTCGTATTAAGCAATGTAATACAGATGTCCGATATAAACGATAAACTTGAACTCAGGTCTATCTTCCGAACCGATCCTAAATACTCATCAACAGTAACTTCAAAACGCTTGATTCTTTCACCAAACATATGTTGCTCGATACGATCATACAAATCCACCGGGAGACATTTAACATAAGCATCGAAATATTTTGAACGGGATGATAAGAACTTCCCAAATAGTAAAATTTTTAATCCTGATTAAATACACTATCAAATGTGACAAACTTTGATGAAATCGAAGTATACATATTTCCGTAGTAACAAATTAAACAGCTTGTACAAGTTCCACTGTATACTCGTGCTTTTATAACAGAATCGAGCAAAAACACAACAATATTTCGCTTCTGTTTCATCTCCAGCGAAGAGGTACATTCTAAACAAACTGCTGTAAACGGGTACAGGTCCACTGCAGTACCCATTGAAACCAAACAATACCTTGCGATTGCCTGATTTAATTTTGTATGGTCAGCAAACGATATTAACGAGTTACTCTCAATTTCACTCAAAATACATCTAATCTCAAACCTGGTATAACAACGGCCTTCATCATTAATATATAGTTTTAGAACGTTTACAATATGATCTAATCGATTTTTATCAACTTTCGATATTTTTTTGTCAATATAATGAACGGCAGAAATTATCTCAATTGAAAACTTCTCACTTGATGACAATAATAGGCCCTCTTCAACTGTCACCGATGTGTTATACCTTCTTTCGCACATGCCACCCACAGGAAAATAGATACTATCTGAAAATTAGAGAGCATACATTTCCGAGTTCATAAACGTTTATAAACATCCCCTACGCAGAATATCAAATCAAACACAAAAAGTCATAGAACCAACAAAAATATCTTGTTTATTAAACTGTAACAATCTCAGAAGACAATTAAAATCGCTACTGTAGAACACGTCACTTATTTTTTTCCTTTCTCGCAAACCGCTCATGAACTTCTTGAGTCAATTTTCGCTTTGCTTTCAGCGCCAAAGGTTCATCATCGTCACTGATCCTGCCAATGTCTCCATTTCCACCTAAACGAAGAAACACTCGCTTAGCTAAGCCCACACCGCGCAACCACACGAAAACTCTAAATTATACAATATATGCCTACTTCTTGAGTATTTCTTTACTCCATCACCTGCACACCGAATAAGCGTTAAACCCAAATCTAAATACGGTTTCGTATTAAGCAATGTAATACAGATGTCCGATATAAACGATAAACTTGAACTCAGGTCTATCTTCCGAACCGATCCTAAATACTCATCAACAGTAACTTCAAAACGCTTGATTCTTTCACCAAACATATGTTGCTCGATACGATCATACAAATCCACCGGGAGACATTTAACATAAGCATCGAAATATTTTGAACGGGATGATAAGAACTTCCCAAATAGTAAAATTTTGGCGCCCACTAAAATTTTCACCGCTTCATTCATCTTTTTTGTGGAGATGCCCAACTGACTGGTAATGAATCTTTTTGTTAAAACTATTGAATCCAATAAAATAACGTGCTTGCATATTCGGATAATGTCAACGTCAGTATCACAACTAGATAACCAACCATCCATCTCGGCATTAATTTCACGACTCCTCGCACGGAAATCACTAGTAATATCGCTCTCTGGACTCGTATCTATCAATAAAACTTTCATACAATACCATGCAATAACAGCTAATCCGTTACCTTCGTCATTCCCCATATTCATTGAACGAATGCCACCAATATCATCTTTACCTTCAATAAAAGTAATATTTGTTTCATTACATTCAGTATTGATACCTACATCACACAAAACTAAAGAGCATCTAAACTGCATAAAAAGTATTCAAATACCGTGACAATCTTCGTATAACCCCTACTTACTTTTCAGCTTATACCCCTGCTCCGCATCCTTTTCTTCAACATTCGCACCCATACAAACCAAAGACTTTGACATTGAATCTTGTATTACCACCGTCGTTACTGCAAACAATTACAAAACCAATGTCACACATACAAAACAAAGCTACATACAGATGTACTTTCCGGTAGCTTCCGCTCCCCGAGGGAGTTCTCTGGGAATCTCTTCAACTAAGAGAACGCTTTTCACTAAGCGTTAGTATAAAACCACATATACTAGACAAAGACTATATCATTATACCTTGAAGCAGTTTAGACTGATTGTAACCAGCTTATAATTTCTTTTGCAGATTTTCAGCTGAAACCTTCTCCTCAAATTATTTTGCTTAAATGGCTTATAATTTTACAAATTATACCTACTTTCTGTCTCTGCAGTACCAGTTACCACTACTGCACAACCATCCCCATCCATTGCAACCGCGGCCACACTACTCGTTCCATTTTCTTCATCCATTTCCACCTCCGATAACTTCTCGATGCCAATAGCTCTTTTCTCATCCTTACTTGTCGACTTCTCCCCTGTAATATCAGAAATATATTAAATAGAAAGCAATTTCTATTCAAGTCCCTATTAGTTCACGTACTCTTAAAGTCACAAACTATCACCCTTCACTTTCTTTGGTTTTTATCTATCCTCTTCCCTTTCATCATTACAGCTAGAACAATAATCCATCTCAATATAAAAAGCTGCGAACCACTCGGACCGTACTATTCAAAATCAACACTTGTCTCTATACGTCCGTTTAATGAAGCATACACATACATGCCGTTCACAAAACATCACTGAACCCCAAAAAAAGGTACCTTGTTTCACAATTTCTTTAGATTGATAAATAAAATCGGCTAAATCAACACAAACATCTGCGTATTGAACGTGATCAATCACTTCGATTCCAGCGGTTGAAGGTTGGTAACAATCTTCCAAATATTTCATCCCACGATAAGCGTTCTTATATGCCTCAAAATCAATGCCATATTTACTCAACTTCCGCCGAAAATCGTCGATACCATTTTCACAGGGATAATTTTTGAAATAAGTTGACACTAGCTTATTTTGTTTTGGATTTTTGAAAAACTTTTTATCCTTATCGGTCATTTCAAGCAATTTTTCCCCGACTAGTAATCCCAAAATATATTTCACGAAGTCTAGTTTCCAGCCATGCAAAACACTATCATTACGCGTCAACATCGATTGTGTGAAGAACCGATAATTTGAGAATAAAATCCTTTTTACCCCGTTCATCAACCTCGTGTCATTAACTTCCCCACCAATATCCGCTGAATGATCGTACATTACAATCATCTGCGGAAAGATAATTTCCACAAATAATTTAATCGCAATATCCACAGCGGTGACCGTCACAGGTAGACAGACAGTATCTGAATCTTTACGCTACAAAGAAATTTGAACAAAACATAACATTTAAACTCAATATGAAAGAGAATCCACGAGCAACTGAGAAACTCCATAATACTTAAAATAGCTTTTTCCTAACCATCCTCAACTTGGGGTTTAGGGACTACTAGCAACTATAATCGTCAAAACTTTGTATAGCTTGAACATAGGTTATCCACTTCGCTTCGACTCGTGGCAGTGTTTCGTCCTACTAAAACAGCTCAAACCCAAATAAAAACCTCCATGAAGTTGAAAAACTTCATAAAAAACCTGAAATAAAATGCGTTTTCGGCTGATTTCATGCGTACTTCAAAAAACCTTAACATAGTCAAACACAGTTAATCATTTCATACACTCAGTCTCATCTAGAATGCAATAAAATTTATTCAGGATAAATTTTCCAGTTTCCTTTTCCAAAAAGGAAAGTTTACAGACACGAACGCTTCAAAACTCCAAAAGCTTCTATTTAGACGTAACTTTGGACCGACAGTGAGCATAGTAGTGGAAACAATTTTGTCACATGATATCGACTTCCTAAAAGTCTCGATTCCATTTAGGCATTCTTGCTAATTCTAAAAACACTTTATTTCAATTCTCAAACGCATATATGCTGCACATGCATCTTTCCACAGTAATTAATTAAAACCTAACTTGATACATGTTAAAAAGCACTCACCCCAGTATCCGAATAAACTACTTCGATCGCTGCTTCCAATTTTTTCACAAAATCAGCGTCAATTACATTAAATCTTCTATCCCCCATCCTCGTCAAAACTTCTAGTGTATCAATCAACTGTTGCACATCAACAG